TGCTTTGTGTTCAGGGCACAGATTTACCAGAGTAAACAGTTATCACTAAAACACAAGTCTTACTAGACTCTCACTGTAAGAATCACAATAAATAGTTAAACACTGCATTAAAACGATTTTAAAAACATTTTTGCTACGTGAAATAAATAGTAACACAACTAAAATAAATAGAGTGAAATAAATAAATGCTAAATTATAAATAATATTACGTGTGTGATTTTAATAATAGTTTACATGCTAAAATTGTATTAAAAACTACTTTAAAACACTTTAGTTTAACTGAAATGAAAATACATATCTCAAATAAATATTATACTACTATTTATACTAAAATCGCTAAAACTAAAGCTGAGATAAAAATCAATAAAAACGAAATATACTTAAATATATTTAAATATTTTAAAATAATAATAAAAACATTTTGTATTGCAACAGAATAAAAAATAAACTTAAGGCGAAAATGGAAAATATTAAAATAAAAACAAATTCTAAATATTAATAAATACTGTAATAATATATTAGTCAGTGCTATTTTAATGTCTTTGAAATACTGTTATAGTTTTTATTAATACTTTATATTTTTAATTATTTTCTTTTTAGTTAAAGTTTTGTTGTTTTTGCATTTTATTTAGTTTTTTTTTATGTCTATATAGTTTTTGTTCATTTAATTTAACTTTTAGTTGTAGTTATTTTAATACATCAAGTTAAACTAAATGAAAAAACTAAAATAATTATGTTGAGTAACGAAAATGTTTTTAGTTTTAATTAACTATAATCACCATGATATTAATGCTAAAAAAATAATTTAAATAAATGTGAACTAGCCATAAATGATGTGTTTTATACTGTAATTTTGTTTTCATTCACACTGTATTGTATTGTAATATTTTCTTATGGTTTTGGCTTTAGTTACTCACCCTGATATTAATGATAAAGCGCTGGTTTATACTGTGATTCGAGCATCTTTTGCTCCTCTTTTTGCGCTGGCGCGTCTTCCAGTGTGCTTTACTGCAGTCTGAACTAAAGCTTTGTGATCCTCAGAAACATCGTCAATCAGGTGAACCTGAGAAGAGTCACCTGCGTCTCGCTGCACAATGACCGCAGGCCTTTATTAGCATCAATTATAGTAA